TATGTGAAAGTTGCTCTTGTTATACAGGTCAATAAAAGGAAACCCAAAGAATGAAATTCTAAGAATCATATTGTGTATTGTAACATATATATATATATATACATATATATATATATATATATATATATATATATATATACACACATATATATATATATATATATATATATATATATATATATATATATATATATATATATATATATATATATATATATATATATATATATATATATATATATATATATATATATATATATATATATATATATATATATATATATATATATATATATATATATATATATATATATATATATATATATATATATATATATATATATATATATATATATATATATATATATATATATATATATATATATATATATATATATATATATATATATATATATATATATATATATATATATATATATATATATATATATATATATATATATATATATATATATATATATATATATATATATATATATATATATATATATATATATATATATATATATATATATATATATACACACATATATATATATAGGTATATATATATATATATACATATATACATACATATATATACACATATATATATACATACATATATATATATATATATACCTATATCCTAGCAGAATATTGTTAACTTCTTATAGTTGATACTTCCTTAATGAAACCACATGATAGTTCGTATACCACTTCTATGCCCTACAATAGTAACTTCCTGAACAACTTCAACTTCTCTTCCCAGCAGCATTCCAATCTAACGATCTCGTTCGTTTCTCTCATTTCCCACGATATCCGCATAAAAAAGTCTCTCGTTGTCCTTCGTCACAGTTGTGCATAATACCATTGATCTTTATTTTTTCCCGCGCAATTTGATTGCGCCATCGATTTCTCATCGAAAAAGGAAGTCTCTATCGGCACGTGAAGACGATTTTCCTTTCAACGAAGAAGAGAACGTGGCGTTCTATGACGATCGCGGCGAACAGCCCTCGCTTGAAAAGCATCGGGACGTCTTTCTGGTCTTTATCACGAACAATACCTCCGCGAGAGGTATATTATAGCCCTTGTTCGCGTTTGACGCGAGACTGCGCGCGCAGCGTTCGCCGCGCATGCGCATGGGCATAGCGGACGTGCTTCGCGATGATTACTTTCGCAGAAAGTCGAGATAAGCGAGTCAAGAATAACAAAAAAAGAAACTCCGAGCCGGATCGATAATCGCCCGATTTCAATGCGACCAGATACGCTTTTATGCGTAGGCCGCTATCATTTCTTCATATATATGTAACTATATTGATCATCCGAACACAACGTGAACAAAGACTGCCATATATATATATGTATATTGCACTCAGGGACAAATGTGATGCTCGAGTTGACACGCGCAGTATGTTGATCAAGTATCTTAGAAGTTTCAAGTTGTAATAATTTACCGAGTCCACTTGAGACCTTTCGAATCGTTGTCGCCTTCCTCCCACCACTCAAACATTGTTTAAATATTCCTATACCTCAAGGACCACCGTTTGTCGTTCTACCAGATAACAAGGACGAATAGAGAACGGAGAACGTCGAAGTCATGATGGGTCTGCGTTTTTCAAAAATGTAAAGCGAGACTAGTTATCCATGTTAAAGAATTATGTGATTGCGAAAAGCATTCGAACAGGTCTAGAGATTTATTGGTAAGACAAGTTTTAATAATAATTTCAATTTTCTACTTAATCCAGAAATTTTCTCTTTAAATCAAATGTTCATATAAATTTGCAGACCGTAAGTAAAGTCTTGCACGACATTAAGAAATTAAATTGAACCACTGAATCCTTTTTGGTATTCGTAAATATCGATTAGCAGAGAAAGAGATGACACGAGCTCGTAAAATGTTGAACATACGACGAATGGTAATTACGACTTTCACCAAAAGCCGAAGGTACCAATTAATCCTTCCTAGGAGGAATGTAGATGCGCAAGAACAGGCTACATATCATCTGATTTATAATGCCGCGTAGTAAAAGGCATTCGCCCTAGGAAGCGCGTTCTAATTGGAGGTATGTTTTTCCCGATCGGGGTCGCCGATGTATCGTACCGCGCGTGCGTACATGTGCACCGGAATTTATGCCCGGTTATGTCGTGTGTTTTAAGGGATCGTCGCTCGAGCGTAATAATTTACGAGCGCTAAACCGGAAAAGATGGAATAACACGCGTGTAACGCCGATGTCAGCGTCAGTCGATGTTTTCCTGATTAACTGGGTCTCTGAACTCCTTTTAACCTCCTAAAGCAAACGAAGTCTTAGTTAACTGAATTATTATTAATTTCGTCTATTTAATATTTGATATGATTAAATCTAACCATACAACCTAATATTATATGAAGGAAAAATTATAACCAGAAGGGAGATTCAGAATGAGCTCCTAGTATATGACATTATATGTTTACATTACATATTATATGTTTGTAACAGGAAGAAAAACAGGACGACGGTGGCTATGTGGTTACTGTAGCTGACTGCAAGCAGGTTGGCGGTTCAAATCCATTCGCCCCTGGATTTTGACATAAGTCTGTTCAAGATCAGAAGTAAAATGTGAATTCGTACTTGCGCGACGCAGTTTGTAGGCTTAGGTCTCTAGATCTTTAACATTTACAAAATATAATGAGGAGAAGTTTAAGACGAAGGGGAAATTACCTCCTGAAATGTGAAAAATAAAAAAAAGCCTACCTATGAAAACAACATAGAAAAAAGAAAAAAACAAGAAGAAAAATACGCTTGTTCAAATGGAAATTAACAGTCTTAACTAGGAGTAACACGAAAAGAATTTTCGGTAGCCTGTAACAAGACTAATTCTTTTTTTCTTTATCCCCGAGGGACCGAACTAGTCGAGTCGATCCAGTTACCATTTCCAATCGAGATGGAATTCGATCCTTGGTTATAAATAGGACCAAGAGTGAAGGTAGTACACAGCCGGTCGGTATCTACCAACAGGCTGGATAGCAGTACGCACTTCGCCAATCTGCAGGATAGCCGATACAACTCGCACGCAGCGGTTTAACAACCGGGTCAGTGTTTTTCGCTCTAGTTGTGTTGATATGTATAATCTTAGTAATTATATACCACCACTGTGAAGATTTACCTGACGTTGGGCAAGGAGAGGCTCTGTGAATTCTCACAGGTGAGATAGGGAAAAGACGAGGGGCGAAGGTATATCCACATTTTATTCCGTGCACCAATCACAGCTGATTGGTGCCGACTGTTATTTGTCGGGGCTCGAAGAAAAAAATCCATTCGATAGTCTACTCCTACGTGTTCGTGTGGACCGACCAAACGGATATATTGTTAAGGGCGAAAATTACAGACAGCCGGCCGTTGGAACTCTACCGAAATAATTATTCGGCCAATCGGGATCGATTATTGTACTCGTTAACCGGTCGGCTAGTATCATTACCGGAATTATCTTCCATCCTGACTGTATTACTAAATCGAAATCATTAATGATTTCGTTGTAACTAATTTCCAACAATCGTACCGCCAGCCTTTTTAAGATACTTATGAATAGCGTATTTCTTTCCTTCAAACAGAAATATCATAATCGTTTGGAATAATACAAAATGACGGAATTATATCCGGTTGTTCGTGATGCAAAATTTGTTAAAACTTTTATTCATCAAGAAATAACTTCGATTGCTAAACTATGAAAACTATGATACGAATTTCAATCATTTTAAAATGGCAATTCATGAAGGCTTCTAACATTTAGTCGAGAAGTAAGGTAGTCCTATTTTTTAATTATGTTTTATTTTATCCTTGTAACTTTGTTTCAATGGTCAAAATGTATTGAATCTGTTGAACCATCTATTGACGATGCAATTAATATTATTTTTAAGAAAGTTATAAACAATTGAGAGCTTTTATTAAAAATTCAACCACTTTGCAACAACCTGATATTATGGACTCGTCATATTGCGTAGACCACACATTCGAATGGAAATTCAATGTGTTGGTAAACTCGTTAAACTAATCAAGGAAAAAGGAGAAACTATGGAAATCGATTGTTAAGCGATGTTATTAACTGATGCTACGTGAACAGTTCTCGACAATTATTATCCACCCTTTACAATGTTGCAGTATGTCTAGTGACACGCGAAACATACGAAACGGTCAATTTTAGCCCATCGCGAACCTGCGAATCATCACTAGTCTGCGTTTATTCGTATAATTTAGCGTACTAGTAAATCGCGCGGGAAATACTCGCGCGACAGAACCAGTTCGTCCGCATCGAGCCTTAAGGTTACGAGGAGTGATCGATTGGCGCGCATTCTGACATCGTAAAGGGAAGATGCACATGCACACGCGAACGCCTCTCGAATTGAGAAAGGGGATCTCCCAGAGAGAATGCAGAATAGCATTATGTAACTTGCGTACGATCGTTAAGTCTGATTTTATATGACGGATGCTACGAGTGAAAGTTTGTCGAATTGAAGAAGAGAGTTGGACGACGTAAAAAGAAAAGCTATTTGACGTCACGTGAAAGTGGTACCTGTGTAATTATCAGGAAATCTGATATGAAAACGATAAGAAGAAAGATGTACACTTAAAAATTAAGAAGATATATTACAATAATAACAAGTAAAATCTATATGTTTATTCGTACTTATTTTACTTCTATAACTAAATTATATACGGGGTGGTTGGTAACTGGTGGTACAAGCGGAAAGGGGGTGATTCTTCGCGAAAAAAGAAGTCGAAAGAAAATATAGAATAAAATTTTTTTTTTCATCGAGACAACGATCTACAGTGAGATTCGTTATAACGAGATGTGATAAAGTGCACGCGTACCGAGCGAAAATTCAAAGTCGATTTTCTCGAAAACAAAACCTCAAACGAAAAATTTTTATTCTATATTTTCGACTTCTTTTTTCGCGTAGAATCGCCCCCTTTTCGCTTGTACCACCAATTACCAACCACCCCATATATTCGAATTCAGGGAAGTCTAACCTCTGCAAATCGAAGTTTTCTTTTATAAGTCAAAGTTTAAGCACCACTGCCTATGCAATTTGAAACGATAGATATATATTTATTTTACAATGAAAAATCGTATTCTAAATAGAAGTCTACCGTAAATTAATCATTAAATTTTAACAGTTAAAGTCTTTCGTAGAATCTCTACAACTCGAAAAGTATTAACTGTACGAATTCCCTTTAAACCAATTTGTTGAACCTCCCTTATTCAAAAAACTCGATAAGATGAAACCTCGAAAAATCAAAGAATTTTGCTATTCCTGGAAATTCAAGTTACCGAGATTCGATTATAGTTTTAATTTTCCCAAGCATCTCAACATCGTGGAGGGCATCCTCGGCCATGTTTAGCTTGGAGGCGCGTCTAAGGTATGCGTACCTCGAGCCTGGTATAATAAAGAAAATCCACGATGCAATAGCCGGAGCACAAAAGGACGAGAGAATAAATCAAAACGGCGTCGGTAATGCGCGGCTCGTCGACGCAAGAAAGGCTTTAAGGTATCAGAGTTTTATGCGGCATGAGAAATCGCTGATTTTCCCACGCGCGCAGTGGTACGCGCGCGCACAAGCGCTACCGGGACCGCAACGGAGGCGCAATCGCGTTTGCAAATGCGCCTTGAGGCCGTGTGCTCGCTCGTGCACTCGGGTGCCCGACGTTCGCGCTCGTTCCTTCTATCGGAAATATAATTGGCGCTTTGCAAATCCATTAACCGACCCCATGTGGCAGGTGGCGTTGCCGTATTACCGCCGCTGGGCCTGCTCGCTAGTAATTCATAGTTTCATGCTTTCCACTGCTTAAAGACTTAATGGAAGTTGCGCACGCATACGTTCCAAGTTGTGCGCGCATCGCCATCGTTATCTGTTACGCGTCTGTAGAAAAACAACCGTGCTCCCGTCCGTGAAAGATATAGAAAGTGTTATAACGTTTGCATGCTGACCAGGCCTTGCAACTCGTCGAGATAATCTATTCCCGGCCGTGCACGAGGCTTGTTTTCAGGGACACGTGCCTGCTAAACGCCGCTATAACCTCTCTAGGAGTTTCAGTCGAATGGAAGAAGGAACAAGCGATGATTTATGAAGTTTGCTCGACGCTTTGGAAACAGGGTGGAAAAAGGTGCTATATAAATAGACGACTTCGAGGGATTCAAATATTATTTACCTGTTAGAACAACGTTGGAAATGGGAGATAATTATAAGCACACGGTGATGTGCGTAATTTGAGTACCATGAAGATACTTATGTCAAAGTACATTTACCGTAAAGAGTAGTTACAATAATAGAGTAAGGTAGGATTGTTTGCGTCAGCTAAGCCTCAACGTCTTAAAATTCAGTCTCTCCTCCGAAATATAAATAATTTAAAAATTGTTTATAGCTGAATTTGAATAATTACCAGGCAAATTGCTTACTTAAATCAAACATCCTACAGATATCAATGACCCTAGCTCATCCTACTCTAAGGATATTTTTGAAGAGATTTCATAATCTTGTATCTATTAACAGTGATGTGTTAATGCGTTAAGCACATTTACTGGGAATTTTAATTCTAATGTCTTTTACAAAAGTCATTTCACCGTAATTCTTATAAATTAATGTCCAGTTATCAAAAACCCATTGTTTAAACAATTATATGCAACGTTTGACATATTAATGACAATAATTGTCTAATAGCTACATCTGATAATACTGAATAAAGCGTTATCGTGTAGTCATTTAAATTATGAATAGCTGAATATTCTATGCAGTAACGTTGCCGCTAGTGTCGAGATACGAAACAGATAACGTTAAAACTATAATAATGTTTACGTGGATTCATAGAGCTGGCGCGGAGCCCGCGCAAGACGGCAAATAGCAAGGCACAAAGATCCGTTCGTCCGCAATGCGATATAAGACCATGGGTTGGGTTAGATAGAGGATGCATTTGAAGCTACCATTAAGCCCGTGATTGATAATGCCCGCAGACCCGTTCTGCGCCATCGCGTCCGTTCGATCAAGGTCTCCCTGAGTATACCGATCGCGTAAAAAACGAAAAGCGCGTGGCGGCTGTGGCGCGCAACAACGCAAAATCACTGCAAAAAGCGAAAGAAGTGACATCGAGTGCACTGTCACCGACATTCCTCTTACAGCTCTATATCTACCTTCTCTCCGGCAAGAAACGATGATTAACAACGAAATTTCACGATACATGCATAATTTTAAGTTGGAAAAAATTAGCAACTGAACGTAATTGAATATTCATATTGAAATTCATGGAACGTTGGTATTAAATTGAAAAATATTCGTGACTGGGAATTTCGTTATTCTTACAATTAAGTATGAAAGAAGCGTAAAATAGTTTACTTTGCTAAGTACGTACTTAGAGATAAAGAATAGAATGTACGGCGTGTCAACGCATAAAAGAGATAAAAATAGCATCGTTGAAGCAGAGTATTCTTTTCATCGATGACGACGATGACGATGCAGCTGTTAACTAGCAAAATGCCATTATTTACCCAACCTTGACGATGAAAAGAGGGTAGGCAACTATAGCTCGGACTAAAATCTAGAAAACACGAGCGACAAAAAATGACTTGTGGTGAAACGACAGTGACGGAGCATGTGCTCTATGAGAATCATCTTTCGTCGGCGAACATCAGAGCGTCCAACCTTGCTTGGGAAAAACGCTAAACGAGGTATTTGCACGATGAGTCGACGAATCTTATACACGATGCACCCTTTGTTTTGCTTCGAAAAATCTATGAACGTGACGAGCCGTGTCAGGTATTTATCCTATTTTGCGAAATGGATGTGCATTTCATTAATTTTTTAACCTACTCTATTATACTGATATTACAGAGGAAAAAATCGGCTGAAGTGTTCGCATACTTACGAACGGTAGCGTATGTCTGTCTTACTAACATTACCAGCCTTAGTAACATTATAAATATTCCCTATTTTGTGATAGAAAGGCGATTCCTTAAAATTTAATATTTCACGCACAATTATCCACATCAAGAAGATTATAACGCTAAAGGGATAGAGACTGGTTGAAGAAGTTGGTTGCATGGATTTCTCCGTAACGGGGAAACGTAGCTTCCCCGAGAATAAGCCATCAGAAATTGCGCGAAAAGCATTATGACCGGTGCCAAGTTTCGTGTGGCACGCGAGAGATTACTTTCTGGAGCTCTCCGGCATACCTTCCAGTTGGAAGGTTTCCTCTAGCTCTAGGAAACGTCCGGATATGATAATAAGCGATGCTCGCGCCAACATTCTACGTTGAGCACGATTCGAACCCTCGGGGCTACGTACTGGGTTCGCATCAACAGCTCTCGGAGAACCAATCCTCTTCCCTGAAGTCGCTGTCACGACCACCTGGAACGTCTCTGTTCCGTGGATGGTCTTTTAAATCCCTAGCATCTTTCCAACAGTCACGCCTCCTCAGTTTGTTTCGCGTGCTTTCCAACAACATTCACAGTGTTCCCATGTTCTCCACGAAACAGCTATTTCTCGCAAAGAAACTTCGACTCTGGTGGAATATCAATGACAAATTCATACGAAGATGGTAAAATTGACTTTTAATGATGACCAGTGATTGCCACATCTGGAGATTTCCTTTTGTAAAAGTCATAATTGTTATAACGTCCTCCTTAGTTGAACCACTCATCTAGTATATTCTCATCTTTTAAGAAATGCTAAAATATCGAAGTTTCCCGTGTTTCATATTTTAGTTATATATATAGCGTATAACTGTTTGCTAGAAATTTGAAATTTCCTTAGATCTGTGATAAATGCGGTAAGATTGCTCCAAAGTAAAATACACTCATCTTCTCCGGTTAATAGGTTAAATAGAAGTCGTTAGCATTATTCTGAACTACGTTGGAATAGAACTAGAGAACACCAGTTTCTCCTAAAAAGACATACATTTCTTCGCATCGAACGATATCTCTAAGTGTAAATAGTAGACTTACAATACGCTTGTAACGATACAGGTGATACACGCGAGAGACCAAGAGATCCGCTTGTCCACGTAATTAAGTAAAAACTACGACGCGAAGGTAGGTCGCAAACGCGTCTTCACGTAGTAAACTCTTCAATTGCGCAAATATCTCGGAGCCTCGATGGAAGAAATTAGCATAATGCCGGGAAGCATTAGGCTCGTGAGCGCAAATTGTGCGGCGGGCATCGGCTCAAAGAAATACACAAGGGAATAAGGAGGAAGAGACAGGCTTATGTAGAGGGTGGAACAAGGAGCAAGGAGAAGAAACTAAAGAAAAACAAGGAAAAAAATAACAGGAAAAATCAGGAGCACGTCGTTTATTTTTATATGCATGAAAAGTCATCAGTAGTTGGCTGGTTGAAACATGAATAGGATCTGTCCACCGGAGAATGACTTGAGCAAACTGTCGCTAATCGTTACTGCCTGTGTGCGAAACGCGTCGTTTTTGCTTCTGATTCGCGTCTTGTTACCACGTTCAGGTAATTTACCACAGAAGCTCATATCAGGCGCCTTCGTGGGTTCCATGGAAGAAATCCAAGGAGTTGTACTATCCATGTAATCGTATTTATGGCAATACGTGATTACATTTCTTTTAACCGGAGGCAAGAAAGATAAAGGATATGCCTCCGTCATTTTTTCTTTTTTGTAGCGTTGGGATGCGCTATCTTATTAGCACTGTAAAGAAGGCGTGTAACCAGCGAAACAAAAAAGGATCGATAAAAGTGATCCTCGTCTTGTTCTTTTTAAACTGGAATGCATATATCATTTGTACATCCTGTTTAAATAACAAAGGGAAAGGAATATTTGCTCGTAATCGGTAAAAATTACCTTCACCTTCTTCTTTTTAAACCGGAATGCGTATATCATTTGTACATCCTGTTTCAATAACAAAGGGAAAGGAAAATTTACTCGTAATCGGTAAAAATTATCTTCAATTTCTTTTTTATAAATTGTAATACATACACATATCATTCTTGCATCCTGTTTAAATGACAAAGGGGAAAGGAAAATTTGCTCCTTTTCTCTGCTACCATATTGGTACTATTCCACCAGAGAACATAGCGAGAATAATTCCACTCATCTTAATAATGATACTTGATCGACGATATGACGTTAGAATCGAAAAAGAGTTCTCTAGCTCACCGTGAAAACCGAGAGCTCGTTACGCGATGACGACACATCGGAGATCCATCGAAAGTCCATCCCGTCTGAACGTGAAAGTGTTGCAAGAAAAGCAGGTTATTACAGGTAGTTACAGGTGGTTACAGGTAGTTGAAGTACCGCCAGCTCTCCTTCGCACTTCCTAAAGGCCGTTCCCCGGCCTACGAGCACGATCTCGACCGCACACTCGTGTGCTCCTTCCTTTCCCGTGACGCAATATATCGTGTCTTTCAAAGCAATTCCTGTGGTTCGAGACACCAATATGGACACGCGCGTATACACACAGAGAAAGAGAAAGAAAGAGAGGAGGAGACAGGTATACGTTTTCGTGCGGTGTAACTGACCTGTCTCGAAGAAACATAAGTTGCGCCGCGCGGAGACCGCAGACCTGTCCATTTCGTTCTTTTTCCCTTTCTTTTCTCGTTTCGTTGCCCTTTGCAATCGGAATGCCAAGCCGGCCAGCTGCAACGAAAGTAAATGCGCCGGGGAAGACATTGAATTAGCACGATATATCGTGCACGGTTTATCTCCTCCCGTGGCTTTCCTGACCGCCGGACAAATTCTTTGATAGACTGTGCGCCAGCCGTCTACGCGACTAAAATTACCACATTCACCGGCTTTACGACTGCGCGTAATTAAAAACTTACATTTTCATGGCTTCCCAACGTCTATCTACGGGTCTTTCTTCGTAGATCGTTTGATTAATGATATACGTTTTTGGGGAATAACGTTGTATCTAGTGACTTTTACAGTGTAGAATTACATATAGGGATATTAGTTGTTTTATAGGTTCAGCCATGTCACTTAGCATTTATGGTAGAACATGTTTTAATTAAAGAGATACCCTGTGTTAAGAGAAACGTAAAAGTTTTGTCACGTTATAATAGAATTTATTAGGAATCAACTACTTGTTGAGAATTATTATAACATGCTTTTAATCTTCTTCTTTCTAATCGTTTTTTTCTTTTTTCTTTTTTCACGTGGCGCTCGTGGTATGTGTTCACTTCCCATTTCAAGGTTTACGTTCTTACAAAACCTACTTATCAATACGAGCGAATTATTCGCAAAAATCCACAAACTAATTAACCTCTAAACCATTACTAAACAATATTGCGCAATCAGAATATAAGTTAGATTCTGCCTCCCTTAATTCCGCCATCCATATACAGCGCATTCATCAATTATCTTCCCGAAAAGCCGGCAACTTCCGGAAGTTGGTGCAAACTCCGAGCAATATTCAACCTCCAACCTTTCTAGCGGTTCATTACCTCCTCGATATTCTTGGAATTAATCACGCCGCGGCCTCGTTAATCATACGCCGATGATAACGCCGGGAAGAAAAGTGTTCCGAAGGAAACGAGCGGCGTAACCTGTCCCCTTCTCGCCCAGAAACACTTTCTCCCACAACGAAAAGAAGCGAGACGTAAATCCTGCCGGCATCCTAGACTGTCGATCTCTCGCGCGTGCAAAACGAACAAGCGTAACACGATCCCTCAGCGTGCGAAATAATCACAAACAGTTAACAAACTGGAGTTACTATCTCTGTAATTTTCGTGACTCAGTCTCGCTCCGAATCTTTTATAATTATGATACACAATTTATATTCTTACGTAATAAATGTTGTATGTTTCTTTTAATAAGAAACTTTCACAGTCCTCTGCTAATTGTGCTCTCCTCTGTATGCCGAGGATTCGAACTCGCGACGCGTCGTCTTCAGTTCTGGTACTTAACGAGCGTAGCTGACTGCCCCGCCTATATTCTTATGAATACAGCTAAAAAAATGGTTTCTATGTCAGTAGGTTTACGAGCCACGTCATTTTTACGCATTTCGAATTTCACGAGGAAAAGCACACAAACCGTTTACATTTTTCTTCTAACATTTGTACTGACTTTTATCTATTTAACGAGACGAATATACAGGGTGGTTGGTAACTGGTGGTACAAGTGGAAAGGGGGTGATTCTACGCGAAAAAAGAAGTCGAAAATGTAGAATAAAATCTTTTTTTTTTAATTTTTTTTTTTTTAATTTTTCCATCGAGACAACGATCTACAGTGAGATCCGTTATAACGTACCGCAGGCGTACCGAGCGAAAATTCAAAGTCGATTTTCTCGAAAACAAAGCCTCCAACGAAAAATTCTTATTCTATATTTTTTATTCTACATATTCTATATTTTCTATTATTCTATATTTTGAGGTTTAGGTGACCATCTTGCGTCATCAGCTGTAAAACACGTGTTCGTTGTAGCAACACTGAAGACCAGAGTTTTCTTATACCAGAGTATAAGGACAACTTGATGAACATAATGAGTCAACAGCTAGTGAAT